TCACTCCCTCGGCCCCAGACCCGCCTATCTCCGCTCCCTGGCAGCAGCATCCACATGCGGAGCTCAAACCAGCTGCCAGCCAGCCCTTCGGTGGACGGCCTGCCGGGCCAGTCCACCACTGCCTCAGCACGCAGCCAGCCAGCCAGCCCCCCAGCCCCTTCCCCACTCCAGCACCTCACTCAACCCAGCCCTGCCAGAGGAAAGAGAGGGGTGCTCCGTGGGGGAAGGAGGAGAAGAATGGTCATTATGGGGGGGCAAAAGAAAGGATACTGCCGCCAGCCAGCCCTTCGGTGGACGGCCTGCCGGGCCAGTCCACCACTGCCTCAGCACGCAGCCAGCCAGCCAGCCCCCCAGCCCCTTCCCCACTCCAGCACCTCACTCAACCCAGCCCTGCCAGAGGAAAGAGAGGGGTGCTCCGTGGGGGAAGGAGGAGAAGAATGGTCATTATGGGGGGGCAAAAGAAAGGATACTGCCAGAGCCGCCCAGCCAGCCTGCCTCACCTCACGCCAGGGAAGAGAGTCACACAGGTGAGTTCTTTCTCCCACCTCTAACCCCTCCCCTTCCCAGAGACCCCAGCAGCCAATCCCCTCCCTCAGACTGTGCTGCAGGCAGTGCATTCGGCTCTCTCTAGGACCCAGCAGCCCTGCTGTTGCATGCTCACTGCTTCCCATTCCTCCCAGCAGAGTGGTGCCCCAGAACTACTGGTGCCCTATGCAACTGCGCACTCTGTGTATGCCTAAGGATGGCCCTGCACACAAGGTAGCTCCAAAAAACCCTTCTGAAGACCTGAAACAATTCACCAGATGCAATGAAAAAGTTTAGTATCAGTCATGAATCATCCCTGAATGACCCTTATATACTGACTATGAAAATAAACCTATGGGGTAGGTAGTGTATCAGGAAGACAACATGTCCATGTGTCACGGTGAGAAAAAAGAAAGCATCAAACTTCTTGAGAGTCCATCTTGTGCTGCCTAGTTTTCTAAAATCTCCTCAGCTATCACCTTCTGATTGACTTTGAATGTGTCACTACCAGCATTTCTCAATAGAAAGCAAAGAGTAACTAGAAATTGGAAGCTCCTCTCAGAAGCAGTGTAAGTAATAATCTAGGCAGGGAAGAATCTGGTACCTTTCAAAGCTAGACATCCTCCTGATTACCACTAGCCAAGAAGGCATGATTTTGGGGCCAAATAGCGCCAGCCATGGAACCTCAAATGCACTGTTAGGGTACATCTATGCAGCAGGGCTAAAGCTGAAATAAGCTATGCAGCTTGAGCTACATCAGTTGCGTAGCTTAAATTGAAATAGGTTATTTCGGCTGTTGGCGCTGTCTACAGAGCAGGAAGCCCGAGAAAGCGCACTCTTCCTCCAACTTCCCTTACTCCTCATAAAATGAGGGTTACAGGAGTTGGAGTAAGAAGTCCTCCAGCTTGGCATTATTTTGACATTATATCGAAATAACTGCTTGTAGTGTAGATGCAGACTATGTTATTTTGGAATAAAGTCAGTTATTCCAAAATAACACTGCTGTGTTGGTATACCCTGAGAGAACACGGGACCACATGAAGTATAGCAGGATATTAGTGATATTAGGACTGGATGGAAGCTCCTGAGCAGTACTTAATTTGTGCCAGGGCTTGCCAGGTCTGAGCCCTGGCATCTTTAGGCTTGGCAGATAATAAATAGCCCAGGTACCTCTGCACTTGCTGAGTCAGTTATGAAAGTAAAAAAATGGCACAGGTACGTAATTGCTTGATCCCATTACCTCTCTCATAACAAATTAAGCTCTACTCCTGGGTTATTAAATCCCGTCTGCTGTATGCAGGAAGCCCATCGCATAAT